GTTGTCAGTGCACTATGCCTTGGCTGCATACTTTATTTTTGCTGTCTTATTAGTTATTACCACACTGTTATCATGTTACTACTGCTTATAACTATAGGTGATTAGACAATTTTCATGTTAGGCTTTCGATTGTAGCTTTTATAATATATTTCCTTCCATGTACAGTGTGGCAAAAGTTGGAAGAAGAAAATGCTGATTTTTTTCGGGCTTACTACATAAGATTGAAACTGAAGAAACAAATCATATTGTTCAATCACTTGCTTGAGCATCAGTATCATCTAATGAAATATCCAGGACCCCCTAAGGTTCCATTAGCTCCAATTCAAAATGGGATTAATACCATGCCAGGTAAACTTATGTCATTAATATCTTCTAAATTATTAGTGTAACTGTACACTTGAATATCAAGGACAAATCTAGTGGAGTTATACCTATCCCAAATCAATTTTTGGTTATTTGGTTTTTAGCAAAAAAGGAGCGTGTTTCATATTACTTGCAGTATTTTGGCTAGACTGCTGGATAGTTTAATATTTAGTATTGTTGTGCTGTGCTTGTGGATGTTCTATTGATAATTGAATTTTTTTAAATTGAGGAATTAAAGGTCTGGTGGGTGGCAAATAGCCATCCCCCACTAGTTAGGCAGAAGCAAAATATGGAGAAACCAAAGAAAGAGAGAATAGAGAAAATGTATGAATAATAATATATTGTATTTCTGTGTATTGAACTATACAAAGATCCTATATTTATAAAAACATTGGGCTAAGCCACTTCTACTAGGAATAGGAAACCAAGCCCACTCCGGCAAGGGATGGGACTAAGGTTTCCTATTATTCAACAGAATTCGATGTATTTAAATGCACAATCATTTCTAGCTCATTTCTTAAAAATACGAACTGAACTGTTGGACTGGAATGGAGATAAAATGACCTTCTTTGGGAGTAGAATAGCAGTTTCATTGGAGAGTTCAACTTCAGGCTGACACCTGACAGTAGTTACTAACTTTACTTCCTCCTTTCCTTTGGCCTTCTGTTGGATTATTTCATCACTTCCAAGAATGTATAGTATTTTGGGAAATGATAACACCATACAAAAAATTGTTACTGTCAGGCGAAGCACATACTACTAATTACATAGTTGTGAAGCATGGATTGTTGTCTACTCTGTTATTGTTGTGATTCAGTGACACTTGTCTTCAGTGCAGTCAACAATTTACCCATGGGATATCCTGTTCTGCAACAACCTCCAGTTCCAGCTGCAGGTCAACCTCACCTGGATTCAATGGGCATATCTAGCTGCCATGTGGTGAATGGGGTGCCTGCACCAAGCAACTTCCATCCAAATCCAATGCGGATGAATTCTGGAAATGAGTAAGAATCCATTGTTCTTCAGGCTGCCTTTGATTCTGAGTTCAACATTAAACTTATAAAAACATCCATAATTGGTTGTTCGGCCATGTTCTCTTCTGTGATCTGTCATATAATCATATCTTCTGTTTGTATAGTGTTGTGTTTGTCTTGCTGCACATACTCGCGCAATGGTCAAGATGTACACGTTCTATCTATCTATGTTCTTGTCTTGAACATCTGCATTTTTCATTATTTCTAACCCTCTGTGCATTATGCTATGGCAATCTGCTTGGACTTGAGATCCTGTGTTAACAGTTCAATTATACATAGTACCCATTGAGTTTGGAATCAGGGGATGTTGCTCCATTCCACTTATCTAAAGAGCATGAAAAACAAGACAGTTGTTGCCTTTTCTTTTGAAACTAAACATATTTCTAAATCTAGCCAAGTTTTGTATACTTAAGATTGTTTTGGACTTTGTGGCTATTGCATATATTACAGCTCTGACAAATGATATTCTTCTATACTTTCTTTGTTGTAGTATGGTGATTGAAACCAGTGCACCAGATGTATCAGCAGCTGCTCCACCAAGTAATGCCATGTCATCTATGCCAGATATGCCTGTAAGCCCCACACAAGCAGCCTCCAGTGGTCATTTCCCCTTTACTGCATCAGAGATATCTGGGATGGGAGTAGATACATCTGCCATTGACACAGCATTTGCATCTGATGCTAGCTCAGTAGGGTTACAGCTCCCTACTGATAATGGAACTGGAAATTCTAGAGATTTTCTCAGATCCTTGGCTCAGTTTCCTTGGAATTTCAGTCTTTCAGACCTAACAGCAGATTTACCAAACTTGGGAGGTAATTTAGGTGAATCCTTGAAGTGGCCACCAATTGTCATGGTTGTTTATAAAGCAAGACTTGGTGTCACAGTGATGAACTTGCTTTATTAATTATTACAATATGATAGTATGACAATGCCTTGTTTCACTTTGAAATATGGGGTCCTTACCTAAGCACTTCAATTTGTTGGTAATTCAGTAATTGCACATCTTTCCAATCATTATTGTGTGGATCATATTTTGTATACTATAAAATAATATACATTCAGTACAAAAATAATGTACTTGTAGTATATTAAAAATGTACATTGTATTCAGGGGATGTACATTATTTGTGTACTGAGTGTACATTATATTATATAATGTACATTCAGTACACAAATAATGTACATTTAGTATATTAAAAATGTATTTTTTGTTATGGTCCACACAATAATTTGCCACATCTTTCTCACTTTTTTTTTTTTTTTTTTTTTTTAAATAGTAAATGGAATTTGATAGAGTAACAACAACAGCAACTATTATAGTAATATCGATCACCATGGTGGTGATAGAAAATGTTGATGCCGATTGTAACTGTTTTTTTAACCTTGTTATATTCAGAATTGTTCCTGCGCTATAAATGATTCTATTCTATAAGCTTTATATTTGATGTGGTCAAGTAGAAATTCAATAGTTGGCTTGTGTTCTCATCTCACAGTGCCAGAGATCATTCAATCACTTGATTATCTGTACCTAAAACAATTAATGGTTTGCCTTCATCAAGGACATATCTGTCATGATAAATGGCTTTTTAAAGGCTTGGAATGTCTGGTCACAATCCTGCTTACACTATTATTCTAATTCGTGGTAATTGTTACCTGATACTAATTGCAGATCTAGGAGCTCTTGGAAATGACACTGGTTCACCCTTTTTCCATTCGGATTCAGATATTCTACTTGATTCTCCAGAGCAAGACGACTTAGGTGAGAAATGTTCCATTCTTGCCTATAAATTCATAGTAAACAGCTGAATGAATGGACAAAACAATTTGGTATATATTTTTGTTAAGAATTCTTACTGGCCGAGTCTTTGCTACTTGTTTCTCCAAAAATAATGTTGACTTTCTTGAAGACAACTTAACTATTCATTATGCATTACCACATAGGCACATAAGCATTTATCCTGGGACAAACACTTTGTATCCCCTCCATTTCCTCACCCATCCAAAAATAGCATTAGACCTCTCAAGTTGTAGTTTAATTGATCAAGTGACCAAAACTTGTGCTTGTCTCATGATATCTGTTTCGCTTTGTTGTAGTAGATGAGTTCTTCGTTGATTCCATCCCTGGCCCGGGCCCGGGCCCAACGGGACCTCAATCAGACGAAGAGAATCCCTAGCCAAGTTGGCATATAATGGTGCCCTTGAAATTCTGAAGAATAAGTGGAGCAATACAATGATTACAGAGAGATGTCACGCATAGAGAAGAATGCTTACCACTTCCCAGGTTTTACTGTCCTAGACTTAGTTTAACTATGTAGACATTTTAGCTTCCAAAGCGGGTATTAGTGTTTTAGCTTTAATCTCTTCCGAACTAAGCTACACTCTAGGTATGGGTTCGAATCAATGAGAACGAGCTGAATCTGAATCTTCACCCTGCATTCTGCTCACCCGAAAGATGATATATTTCAGGAGCTTGGTTAGATTATTGCAGAACTAGGTCATCTTAGTGTGAATTGCTGCAGAAGTTAGGGCTTTGAATTTCAGTTGATGAGATATGGGAATGCCCAAATTGCACTCATCAAGGGGCATTTTGAGTTCATGGTGTAGCAGCTTGATTCAATCACGGAGTATTTCTTTTTCTAAATTTGTAGGGTATTGCCTTACACTTTCCAAAGGCAAACTGTGGCATTTGTAAAGTACTTGAGGAAATGTTGTTTTCATTAAATTTTTGTACTAATTAATGTGGTTTGTGCCTAAATATTTTTTCTTCCCCCCAAAAGGTTGAATTCCTAACTCCAAGAACAATATTCGATCCAACTAAATACCATGCAGTTGTCCTTTTTGACCAGGGTCTTGCAGCCAATTCCTAATCGTGTTTGATCGGGAAGGTCACTAAGGCAATCGACACTTAGAATAAATAGTCATATCACATCCCATCACCTTTTCAGTCTTATTAAGACACTTGGTTTAATTATTATGACTGTCAAACTCATGTTTTACGCATGCAAAACATGTCGATGATCCGACATGCGTACCTAGACTTGCTTATATAAGGCATATTCATTACTAAGAGAGGGGATTGTTATGTCGTGGAACCGTGTTCACCTTGTAAGGTGGACACGGTTCTATGTTCATAATTACTAAACTCTATGTTATAATTATAATGTTCTATGTTCATAATTTTTGAACTTCAAGTTCACAATTATTGAACTCTATATTCACAATTACAGAACTTTATGTTCATAATTACTGAACTTTATGTTAATAATTATAAAACTCGGTCTTCATAATTTTTGAACTTCATATTTACAATTATTGAACTCTATATTCACAATTACAGAACTCTATGTTCATAATTATAGAACTCTATATTCATAACTCTATGTTTATAATTTTAGAACTCTATATTCACATTTATAAACAGTTTTGGAACCGTGTCCTCCTTGCAAGGTGGACGGTTTCACAGCATAATTTGCCCCTTTACAATGGCCCAATAAGCTCAAATTTTTTGACAACAGACTAACCACATCTGGCCCAAAGCATTTCGCTTTAAGCCCACTTAATTCCCGTTAGGGTTTAGCGTGGAAATTGTGATATATAATTGAATCTCAACTTCTTTGCTTCAAAACCCTCGTGTCAGCTCCCCTTCTCCACCGCAGATCGCCGAGCTGAGGTTCTGACCGGCGGTCGGTCAACATGGTTCACGTTTCATTTTACCGCAACTGTAAGTATCTGCGATCTCTAATCTAATTTCTCTCTCTGGAAATGCATCTGTTTTACCTATTTGTTTGGTTTTTTAATGTAATCTATTGTCGAAACGTGATCCTGTTGAATACTCTTAGTAGATGTATAATGTATTAGTGTTCTTTGTGTTTGTGTTTACTAGTCAATGTTTTATACTTTTGTTACATTTCACTGTAGACTTTTGGTGTTTATAAGGTTGCAAAGTATGTATTTCTGTTTGCTAGTTTTCTAATTATATGCTAATTCAAGTGGTATATGGATCTATTTTTGGTGAATAAAAATCATTGGCTATTAAGAAATGTATATATAGATATCTGCTGTAGACAGTAGACTGTAGGTTGTCTCTGAAATTGCAGATTCAAGAAGCAAGTGAACTTTTTTGTTATACTGTCAGTGATGTAAATTTGGACATGTTATTGCCTGATTGTGATCACCCTAAGTCCCCATTATAAGGGACATAACAAATGCAAGCTCTAGTTATTGCATCTGACCATCTCTGCCATTTGTTGCCAGTTATTCTGATGATCTTCCTCATATCATGAAAATATGAGATTCTAAATACTAATAGGTTTTGTGAGGATATTAATTAATGAGATATGTATGCTATGGAATAATGGAATGTAGATGGAAAGACATTCAAGAAGCCACGTCGTCCATATGAGAAAGAGCGTTTGGATGCTGAGTTGAAGCTTGTGGGTGAGTATGGGCTTCGATGCAAGAGGGAGCTGTGGAGAGTTCAATATGCTTTGAGTCGTATTAGGAATAATGCAAGAATGCTTCTTACTCTTGATGAGAAGGACCCACGCAGGATCTTTGAGGGTGATGCACTCCTGAGGCGTATGAACAGATTCGGCTTGCTGGATGAGAGCCAGAACAAACTTGATTATGTCCTTGCTCTCACTGTGGAGAACTTCCTTGAGCGCCGTCTGCAGACTTTGGTGTTTAAGGCTGGCATGGCAAAGTCAATCCACCATGCAAGAGTGCTCATTAGGCAAAGGCACATCAGGTATAAATGACTACCTAGTTGATTGTAGTTCTGTGCAAGGTTTAAGTGCTTAATCAATGTGCTGGTTTTAGAGTTGACTTTAATTCATGTGCTGAAAACTTGTCATGCTTATGTTCCAAATAAATTTAAGTGTTGAGATTGGTTTAGTTGCTTAGGCTTCAGCACCCTTGCACTACCTCTCAAGCACTAATTTCTTTAGTTTACAATCAAAGTTTTTGTTGTTAGTCTCAATTGGCAATCTTGTGATACCTGTCAATATGCTTTTTGTGTAACTGTGGGTTTGGAAAATGCTTTTTAACCTTACATTAGCAGAGGGAGAACATCATGTACCTTTTATGCGATGTTCAGGAAAACATATTACAAGTCTTATAGTAATGATTTATAGTTGTGTGCATTATTGAATGTACTTGGAATTACCATGAGCCATGGAAAATTTGTTTTTATTTTATCCGTAACTTAGTTTTATACCGTATGAAATGCATCCACTTAGTAATGGTATTGCTGTTAGACTATTTAGTAATTTTGGTTACAACTGTTCAGTCTAGCATGAGGTTTATTCTTTTAAAAACATTCTTGTTGGTTTTATGATTTTCCTCCATGGAATGTGTATTATGTGTAATTTATTCTTGGGTTTGCACTTCAGGGTTGGAAGACAGGTGGTGAATGTTCCCTCCTTTATGGTCAGGCTCGACTCCCAGAAACACATTGATTTCTCACTCACCAGTCCATTTGGTGGTGGGCGCCCTGGTAGAGTAAAGAGAAAGAACCAAAAGGCTGCTGCCAAGAAGGCTGCTGGTGGAGATGGAGACGAAGAAGATGAAGAATGAGCTTCCACATCTCTTAGGGTAGAAGAATATTGTCCTGTGTTCTATGTAGTTTTTTATCGGGATGAAAGTAGACTTCGTATTATGTTTATTACATGCAACAGTGCCTATTTCCTATATTATCTGCAGTTTCATGGCTTGAGAGCTAGGAGGTTTTTGATATTACAAAGAGATTCATGTCTAATTCTATGTTGGACTTATTTTTATTTTTTTTGTGATAGTATGTACTCTGTAGTGAATGATTTGAATTGTTTCCATAAAATGTGTGTTTGAGCAAACAGTTTTACTTCAAGTTGTAGTTGGACATGATTCTTTTTTGGTGTTGCCTACTATTTATTGTCTATAGACTGTAGGTAGGTCATTCATTACATTACATGTTTTTTTTTTTTTTTTTTTTTTTTTTTGAACCTCACTAGGAAGATTGAAAGGATCTAACAATGAGGGAGAGGCAAGGAAGCTGCCCATGAACACACCAACATTTTGCCTTGGATTAAGGTTTAACACTTATGGTTGAATTGAGGGAAGTTGTGCTTAATTATGCATTTGCGAATGGTAAAGAATTGATATTTGTTAAAAGTGATGAGGTTAGAGTGGTTGTGAAATGCAAACATGACAATTATCCATGGAAGCTAAATGCTAGATTTAACAAAGATGATAAGTGTTTGAGTATAACATCCTTACAGAACAATCGTGAAAATGAATTAAAATTATTTTGTCGACAGGACAACAACTGATCATGCCACAATAATACAATTGGAAATATAGATGTTTTAATAAAAAAAATTAAAAATAGATTGTCACGTATAAATTTATGACAAAAAATAAAATTAACTCTTTAATTTATTATTAATACATAAGTATATATTGAGTTCCATTTTCAATCATCTTCAACTTTCACTTCCAGGGGCTCTTCTGCGCTTCAGTCGTTGGTCGATTCTACGCACCTACAACCAGCAGTTCCACATTCTCTCTTCATCTCAGCCCGTTGCTCCACGGCCGTCCATCCGTTTCCAGCGACCGACAACTGCAACAACTTGCAAATGCTCAGGTTAGAACCAATCTTCAACCTTATTCTCTAGCCCTAATTCCACAAATTATGATAAGTGTATTCTGTGTATATCGTCTGTAAATTAAGTATTTCATAATCCATATGATTTATTGGTTGAAGGCAAGATGCAATATTTGTACATGGCGTCACAACTTTTGAGAATTGAACGAGTAACTACATGCACTTTCAGAAATCTTTACTCGCCCAGATCTTCAGTAACTACACGCACTTTCAAGTTAGCTAATGAAGACTTAAGGAAACCAGTTTCTCTTTCTACCAATATAATTTGTTAATTTTGTCAACTCCTATTATGACACACCAAAACTCACATCCTATGACCTCGCTGTCTGATTTTTATGCCTCACTCCTCCAGACAAGCTTGAAACTCAAAGACCCAGTTGCCATAAGATCGATTCATGCCCGGATAATCAAGTCTGGGCTCCACTTAGGTCCGTTCCTTGTGAATAATCTCATCAATGCATATGGAAAAATTGAGTTTATTTCTGATGCACAAAGTCTGTTTGATGAAATGCCTACAAGGGATGCATCGTCTTGGAACACATTGCTATCTGCGTATGCAAAAAGGGGTATGATCCATGAAGCACGTCTCATTTTTAATGAGATGCCTTGTCCTGATGATATCACGTGGACCACTATGATTGTCGGGTATAACTTAATTGGTCAGTTTAAAGTTGCAATTAGGACTTTTCTTGAGATGGTTGGATGCAATGTGTTGCCTACCCAGTATACAGTTACAAGCATTCTTGCTTCTTGTGCTGCAATTAGATCATTGGACATAGGCAGGAAGGTTCATTCTTATGTTGTGAAATTTGGGTTGAGTAAGTATGTCTCTGTAGACAATTCATTGTTGAATATGTATGCCAAATCAGGTGATGTTAGTACAGCTGAAATTGTTTTTGATAGGATAGCAATAAAGAACATTTCTAGTAGGAATGCAATGATTTCATTGCATATGCAAACTGCTCGAGTTGATCTTGCATTGGCACAGTTTGAGCAAATGAATGACAAAGATATTGTTTCCTGGAATTCAATGATTGCAGGTTATAACCAGCATGGATTTGATGTTGAAGCTTTAAATATGTTTTATAGAATGCTTAGGGAATCCTTGCTGAAGCCTGACCATTATACTTTAGCAAGTGTACTATCAGCTTGTTCTAATCTTGAAGAGCTAAATGTAGGGAAACAAATCCATTCTCATATTCTTAGAACTGAGTTTGACTCTTCTGGGGCAGTTGGGAATGCTTTGATATCCATGTACTCACGATGTGGTGCAGTAGAAATTGCCCGAAGGATTGTGGAGCATAGTCGAATATCCAATTTAAATGTGATTGCTTTTACCTCCCTACTGGATGGCTACATCAAACTTGGTGATATAGATCCAGCAAGGAAGATTTTTGATTCACTAAAGGACCGGGATGTGGTTGCATGGACGGCTATGATTGTCGGCTACATGCAGAATGGCTTAAACAATGATGCAATGGATCTCTTCAGGTTAATGTCTGAAATTGGGCCAGAACCGAATAACTATACTCTAGCAGCTATGCTGAGTGTTTGCTCGAGCTTAGCATCTTTGAATCATGGCAAACAAATCCATGCTGCAGCTTTAAAATCAGGAGAAGCATCATCAGTTTCTGTAAGTAATGCCTTGATTACCATGTATGCAAAGTCTGGAAACATAAGTTGTGCACAGAGAGTATTTAATTTGATACACTGGAAAAGAGAAACTGTATCTTGGACTTCAATGATCCTAGCCTTAGCTCAACATGGATTTGGAGAGGAATCCATACAGTTATTTGAGAATATGTTGGCAATGGGTATAAGACCTGATCATATCACTTATGTAGGTGTTCTCTCTGCTTGTATACATGTTGGCTTGGTAGCACAAGGTCGCCTATATTTCAGGATGATGAAAGATGTGCATGGTATTGAACCCACCTCAAGCCACTATTCCTGCATGATTGACCTCTTTGGACGTGCTGGACTGCTGCAAGAAGCACAAGATTTTATAGAGAAGATGCCAATTGAACCAGATGCAATAGCTTGGGGTTCATTGTTAGCTTCCTGTAAAGTTCACAAGAATGTTAAACTGGCAAAACTTGCAGCCGAGAGATTGCTTTCAATTGATCCTGAAAATAGCGGGGCCTACTCAGGACTTGCTAATGCCTACGCGGCTTGCCATAAGTGGGAAGAAGCTGCTAAAATTAGAAAATCAATGAAGGATAGGCAAGTTAAGAAAGAACAAGGATTTAGCTGGATTCAGATAAAGAATGAAGTTCACGTGTTTGGGGTTGAAGATGTGCTTCATCCCCAAAGGGATGCTATATTTCAGACAATGGAAAAAATATGGAAAGAGATTAAGAAACTGGGTTTTGTTCCAGACACTGAATCAGTGCTGCACGATCTTGATCACGAGTTGAAAGACCAGCTCCTTCGGCATCATAGTGAAAAGCTTGCTATTGCATTCGGGCTACTAAATACCCCAGATAATACTACTTTAAGGATCATGAAAAACCTTAGAGTTTGTAATGATTGTCACTCTGCAATTAAATACATCTCCAAGCTTGTTGGCAGAGAAATTATTGTTAGGGATGCCACTCGTTTTCACCATTTCAAAGATGGGTTTTGCTCTTGTCGGGATTATTGGTAAGGTGGATGGAGAAAATGTTACCACTTGGGGCTATGATTGGAGTACTAAACCTGAACCTGGTAGCTCAAGATTGGGGCAAATTTTTGTTTGCTGGTTTTGGTATTTTCTGCATCATCTGCTGTCAGATTCAGGAACTTCTTGATAGAAGATCTGAAACAGAATTGATGCTACAATCTTACCTTGTTCAGAAAGTTGCTTTATTTTGGCCTGCTACATTATAGAGGTACATTATACTATTGTTTGTTGTTAGTCTTAGTTATTTTAATTAAAAAAGGAACACCTATCTTGACCATTCCTAAAGACATGCAATGAGGCAAGCCTCATTTCTTAAGACTAAAAGAGAAAAACAGTGTACTAATACCTTTTGTTTTGTTTTGTTTTTTTTTTGGGGGGGGGGGGGGGGGGGGCTAGGATAGGGGATGTGCACCTATTCTTAGGCTAAGGTAATTGCTTAGGCAGAACTTTCAACCCACCTATTCTTAAAGGGAATGCTTAAATTTTATGAATAAAGCCTGCAGCTTATAAGAATTAGAATTTCTCTCTTCCTATGCGTTTTTTACAATTAACTTCTATATACGAATGAACTTCGGATATCTAGTTTCCTTTGATGTTTTGCCCTTGGTCTATGGATTATGACTTTTCTATAAATGCAGATTAGAGGAGATATACATATATGCTTGATGGGTGACCCAGGGGTTGCAAAAGGTCAGCTTCTTAAGCACATTCATACTCTTTAAACTCTGTACTTCGAAGCTCATTGATGGTTTCTCCTAGTTTTTAGCATTGGATACATGTGTATAAGAAAAAAAACAAAAAAAAAAAAAAAAGCCAACTTGCTTCAGAAAAGAAGCTAAACCATACTCATATATACACTTGTTATAGCTTGCAATTTGGACAATTTTAGGGGAAGATATGACTTACGAAGAACACCAATTTTGAGTGCACAATTAGTATTCTCATGGCATGTCTTCTCCTCATTCTCATTCTACAGGGACTCGCTAGACTCAGGTTCTCAGAGACTGTTGCTCAAAGTGATGTAGATGAGGCACTTCGCGTAATGCAAATGTCAGAAGTTTTCATTGTATTCAGATGATCGTCAAAGATCTGGGTTGGACGCGATATCTGACATATATTCAATCTTGCGTGACGAAGCTGCTAGGATTAACAGGATGGATGTTAGCTATACGCAGGCACTCAACTGGATTTCTGGAAAGGTTAGTTAAGTTTTTGTAGACAAACTTGGTTTGTCACTCTCTTCTACCACACCAGTCCCTCTTTCATCTAACAAATCACAAAAACTCCCCAATAAAACTCTAATAAATGTTGTTGCAGTTAACTCATTAGTGTGAGTGATGAATGCCTGGAGGAATATGCAGCTTTAAATGTGTGGCAGATTCATCCCAATACTTTTGACATTCGATTCATTGATGCCTGATAATTTGTTTTTGTTTTTGTTTGGTCAGGCCATGAGGTGTCCTGAGCAGGCCCTAATTGTAGGAGACACCTTTAAGCCCGTACCATACACAGACTAATCTCCATTCTGAGCGGGTCAGCCCAATTAAGGGGCAAAGTGCTGATCAGATTGGTTTTTCCATACGAGAAGGGGTTCGAACTCCCAACCTCTCTCAAGGGATGAGAGTGAACGGGCACTCACGTCAACTAAGCTGGTTAAATTGATGCCTGATATCATCTGGCCGGTTTGGCTTCCTCTCTGGCGGCCACTTTCCTTACCTTACCCCCGCTATTACGGCGCCATTATTGTTTACCTGTAGACCGACAAGAGGCACTGCATGCTGAAATATTTGACGGTTGGTTCATAGCAATTAGCAATCTTATGATTCTTATCTTGTGCCCACATATATATTGTAATGTTCATAGGTTTTATTAGCTTTGCTGCTGCTTGCTACAATTAGGAAGATGAAACATGCACGCCTTCTTTATAATACTTTCTCCAGAAGCATGTCCTTGATGTGCAATGAACATACTGATGCTGTAGTTTTAGTTTGTATGTCTGCCTGTCTGGGACTTTGGGAGTTATGCAAGACCTAATTTAGGGTCCGTTTGGAAACCAGGAAAATGACTTCTGAAAAATGTTTTTTGGAAAATGAGTCATTTTCCGGAAAACATTTTCCTTTCCGGTGTTTGGTTGCATTCTAGAAAACTGTTTTTGTGTGTTTGGTTCATTTTCTGGAAAATGAGTAGAATTGTATAATTAAACATTTTAATTATTTTATTTAGAATATTACAACATGTATAATAATATAATATTAATTTTAAATATAATAAAAAATAGCTAAGTTTTTCAACAAAAAAAAAAAAAACTAATAATATATCAAAAATATTATGGTGGTGGTGGTGGTGGTGTAGTGGTAGTGGTGTTATTCGTTATATAATAATAATAATAATAATAATAATAATAATAATAATAATAATTGGTGGTGGTGTGATGGTGGTGGTAGTATGACGATGGTGTGGTGGTGGTGGTGGTGGCGGCGACGGTGGTATGGTGGTGGTGGCGGCGGCGGTGGTATGGTGGTAGTGGTGGCGGCGACGGTGGTTGCGGTGGTATGGTGGTGGTAGTGGTGGTGGTGGTTGCGGTGGTATAGTGGTGGTGGTGGCGGTGGCGGCGGTGGTGTGGTGGTGGTGGCGGTGGTATGGTGGTGGTGGCGGTGGTATGGTGGAGATGGCGGCGACGGTGGTATGTTGGTAGTGGTGGTGGTGGTGGTATGGTGTTGATGATGTTGGTGTAAAAGTTGGAAAATGACTTCCCCCAAAAAAAAGGGGAAGTCATTTTCCATAAAATTGCCTTCCTTTTCCATTGACTTCCACCCCATTTTCCTTTGACCAGTCATTTTCCAATGTAACCAAACACCAAAACCCCGGAAAATGACTTCCAGAAGTCATTTTCCGGGTTTCCAAACACACCCTTAAGCTCCATTTTCATGAAATCAAGCCTCAATTTTACTCCCATTTTTCTTTTGTGTGTTCAAGAGTAAATAACCAATTGAGTCATCTTAACATAGCTGGGTAATTTCACCTCATTAATATATACCCAATTTAGTCAATGATTATAAACTATTTAATAATATTAAATATTATCTAAAAACATTTGAAGTTTGAACAAATTAGGATTATTTTGCTCAAAATGATGTCATTTTGAGTTAAATAACCCATTTAAAAAAGGGAACAATAATTAATCTGTCGACTAAGTGATCTAGTCGGTGCCTAGGAAGCTTAATTGGGGTCTAAGAGGCTTAGACGGTCAGCGCCTAGGCTGCGCTTACGCGACCTAGTCGGCCAACCGCCTAGACCACTGATTATGGTGATACACTAGGCGGCCCGGCTAGCGCCTAGGCAGGATTTTTTCAATACTATTTTACCCAAATTAATTTTCGACTATAGATATATTATCTAATTTAGTTATCTACTATAGGGTTTTTTTTTTTTTTTTTTTTTTTTTTTTCAATTTAAACTTTGTAATAGTCTAGAATTCACTTGGCTAAAACCGTCGAAGTCAACTCGCGTCTTCAATATGGGTCTGGAGTAAGGCTTAGTTGGTGTAGATCATGAGATTTGACAGGTATACCTTGTCCTCATTGCTATATGTGCCATCTTAACAAGGGTAGGAACATAGAGGATTATCTAGATCCATGCTACTCGAAGGAAGCATTTCAAAGGACTTATGCACACGCTTTTCTACCTATGAATGTAGAACTATTCTGGCCTTATTGGAGCAGTTATGGTGTATGACTTTATTAGTATACTGTTAGAGTCTTTAGCATATTGTTAGAGTCTTTAGCATATTGTTAGAGTCCTTAGCGTAGACTTTCCTGCTCCACCTATTGTGGTGCTGAACCTTACTATATAAGCTTGTATAATCTTCTCAGTAAAAACCTTTTTCCTGAAGTATCATTTCATCATTTGGTATCCGCCTAACTTCGGTCCTATGGCCAATCAAAATGATTTTACCCTCCCAGTCGGCGCAAACGCCTCCCCGATCGATTCTTCCAATCGATCAACTCAAGTTGTCGCACCTGCTGATCGCCGGACGTCCACCATGTTGCAGCAAGCACATCACTATGTGTCTATTAAGTTGTCAGCCACGAACTATCTGTTCTGGAGAGCGCAGCTAGTTATCATTGGCCTAAAATAAATTATGAGGAAATTTTGGCTCCAGTCCCAAAAAAATGACGGGTAGGCTAAAGAAGAAAAGAAATCGTGAGGAAAATAAAGGTCCATCAACTGCTATGAGGAAAACTCAACTAAGTATGAAGGGTCGAATAATGAGATATTCAATTTGTAGACAAGAAAGACACACTAGACCAAAGTGTGATTTCGTTGAAGGTGATAACCAGTCACTATAACCATCCATTAATAAAAAATTACGATCTAGTATAACCAGCCACAATTTGATATAATAAGCCACTATAATCATCCATAATAATCATCTATTCCAACAAAAGTCAATTCATAATAGATTCATCCATATGAAATATATTAAATATTGGATTAATTCTCCCCCCCCCCCCCCCCCCCCAAAATTAAATATTAGATTAATCATCCACTTTGCCTACCACTCATTTTGATCTTTACCATAGTACAAAATTAGACAAAATGAGCATAGTACATAATACATCTTACCATAATCTACATCATATTATTATTGTCAAAATTTCCACAATAATTACGATTACAAAAATCTTCAACATTTTTTCAAAACTATTCTTCTTCACAACTTTCGTCTCTAACATCTCTTTCACATTCTCAACAAGCAATCGGGTGCTTCATGCTTCCTCTCACACTTCAAACAACAATTTCTTTACCTCTAATGCCAAATTCGACTCCACCTTGCCTTCCTTTCAAACAAAAAATCCACACCCTAACCCATCCTTCAAACAAAATTAAAACATTCAATACTCCAATCAAACTAATCAATACTATATTTTCTTCCAAATCATTAATGTTTTGCACTGTATACATACCATGATTTTTTCACACTCAAAAAACTTTCGCCCGCTCTATCGTGAAACACATAGAGGAGCTTTTAGACCACAACAGAAATACACGAATGGCTCATAATTTAAAATTGTACGACCATTGGATTAAAGGAAGATGGTGAAAAACTTTGAGAAGAAGATGCCATTAAAGACGTTCGAATGAAGGAAGAAGCAAAGAAGAAAATAGTGAGGAAATTTTGACTTTAAATAGTGACTTTAAAGGGTCAAATGCTTGGTTGTAGTTCCAGTAGGATAATAAAATATAAAATAAATTAAATATATGGCATTTCAATTAGTCAAATCAATTGTTTTTTTATTTTATTACAAAGGATAAGGGGATACTCATACAATCAATGTCTACAGAGGCTCGTAACCTAGACCTCCCACATAGGAAAGCAATCCGATATCAGTAGACCACAAGCCACTTGGTAGTCAAATCAATTGTTAACCTGTTAAAATTTTTTATTTTATTTTATTACAAAGGATAAGGGGATACTCATACAATCAATGTCTACACTGAGGCTCGTAACCTAGACCTCCCACATAGGAGAGCAATCTGATACCAGTAGACCACAAGCCACTTGGTAGTCAAATCAATTGTTAACCTGTTAAAAATATCAATTTTTCTTTTTTGTTGAGTTCGTTAATGATTTTGGAGCTTATTTAAGTTTAGTGACTTAATTACTATTCTCCAAATAGTTCAATGGTCTATTTGTACCTTTTCCCATCAAAATATAAAACTTGGTATAATAAAACTTGGTATAAAGTTACTTTTTTAATTTTGATAATGTGAATAATGTATAACTTTAAACATAAATACATAAATTATGTTTAAATAAGTAATATAAGTAAAAAAAGATAAAAGATGATGATAAGTAAAAGAGGATGCTAATAAATGTAATTATAGTAATAAATAAACATGTGAGTAGATAATGATGAAATGTAATTATTGTGACATAGTCAAATAGATAATAGATGGTAATATAGTTAATTTCATTTTTAGTCGGACATTTATAGGTGGCACTTCACTTTTAGTCATTTTTATCAACACATCCACTTTTGGTTCTAGTATTATTGTGACATGATCAATTTTGGTCCTCTATCAACAAAATCATTAAAATTGAAGGGCATTTTGATCTTTTTAATACAAAGTGCATTGATCTGTTATATTTTTATATTTATTTTTTAAAAAATCATAATTGAAGAACAAAATATCCTTATATTTAATAAAATTTCAACAATTTTTTAATAAAGGAACAAAATTAGTTATGTCACAATAATACTAGAATTAAAAATAAATGTTTTGATAAAAAAAAAAAAAAAAAAGAAGACTACAAATGACTGTCACCTATAAATCTAGGATCAAAAGTAGAATTAACTCACGATAATATTTTCTATTTAGAAAACAGTTATTAATAGTTTTCTAATTTTCTAAAAACTGTAAAATTATTTCATGTTTTCAAAATGAAAATATATATATATGCTAGTAGACATTTTCTGTTTTCTATTTTTCAGTTAATAAACTATCCTAAACTTTTAAGAAATTTGCGCTTTTAATAAAAATAAATAAAAATTGACACAGTAGATTTAAAAAAAAAAAAAAAAAAAAATTAACATGGTAGCTCATATCATTTTCTAGTTCAGAGTAGCTTAAAACCCCACAAGGCAACACTACAGGAGGCCTTTCAAACATATAGAAAAGATGAGGGACCAAATTAGAAAAAACACAAAAAACCTCTTCCAATTTTCCTTTGTACCGCCTCAATCTTTCTTCTTCTCCTATTTTACACCCCAAATCTTTTCAAAGTTTCTACTTCCACCCCTAACCCTAAAGTTAACCTAACAAGCTAAAACTACATGAAAAGCTCAGACTGCAGCAATGAATAGTAGTTAGCAGATTGATCTTCAAACTCCCACAACCCATCATCACACAAAGAGAACGGAAAATCCTGGCCGTCCGTCCCATTCTCGTCCGCGTTATCGCCGCCGTCCGTCCCGAGATTCGGGATCCCGAGCTCGTCGTCAGACGCTTCCAGAAGGTGCCTGATGACGTCGATTCTGTCGTCATCTTCCGCGGAGCTAGGATCCGGGCTCACCGGCGCCCCGGTAACTCGCCGGTCGGCCTCCACTTCGCCGGCCGGGTCTCCGAGCACCGCCCCAAATTCCGACGAAAATTCCGACGAAGAAGAAGAAGAAGAAGAGATCTCCTGTTGAAGAGTTGTGAAAATCCCCAACTCGGCTTCGACTTGTTGGGCCGTGTTTGGCTCCTCTTCTTCTTCATCTTCCAGAATGGAGAGGATGTGATCGTACGGCTTGCAGCGCTTCGACATTTCTCCTTCCGTTTCTTCTCGGCTTTCCTCTCTTTGCCGCTTCTCAGCCATTTTTAGAGAGAGAAAGGAGCCGTATATAACAACTATATATTTGTGTGTCTATAGAGAGAGAGAGAGAGAGAGATAAAGCGAGAGAGAGATAAAGCTAGAGAGAGAAAGGAGGTGGGATGAGGAGACAGAGAAGGGGAAAGAAGGGTATATATAGAAGCGGAGATCCGGTCAAGATGGTGAAAGCAGAGACAACTCGAGGGGATTTCTAAAACAATTTTAATTTTAATTTTTTTATTTATTGAAAACCTAAAACAATTTTAATTAATTAATTAAATTTTATAGATATTCACATCAAAGGACACCATTTTTTTCTTTTTCCATTCAATGGTCCCCCCTGGCCCCACAAGAAACTTATTAGGAAAAAAATAAAAAAGAAAAAGAAATCATATGTACAATTTCAGACAAAATAGGAAAAAAATAAAAAAAGAAAAAGAAATCATATGTACAATTCAGACAAAATCTCTTATGAGATCGTCGGTAATTCTTATTTGTGAAATGAGTCAAATTTTTATAAATATTATATTATTCTCTCATATATAAATATTACATTTTTTTCTCTAAGTAAATTTTTAACCCGTAATATTATATTTTCATTTAAAAATATTTTATTTTTATCAAATATGTCACACCCCTCTTGCATATAAGAATTCGGGAAACTGGCAGGAGAGTCCCTCATAGTCTTATTACGGCCCGTTTGGTTCACGGAATAGGCTGGGAATGACATAGCATTCCCAATAACAGGTATATTCCTTTGTTTGGTAACCATGTCTATTACCAGGCTTAGTATTCCTAATTTTCTAGTAATAGCCTATTACCTCAAATAAGGTAATAGCTATTACCAGGACCCCCTCCCCCCATCCCCCCGGCATTAACTTATTCCTGAGCCCTCAGGAATAGAAAGTTTTTTTTTTTCAATTTTAACCTTTATCGTTCTCTGCGTTCTCTCCCCCATCTATAATTCCGATACAGGATTTAAGACAGGTTATTTATTAGAACTTGAAAGAATGATTTTGGACAAAATATCAAATTGTACCATAAAAACTAAGCCACATATTGAGAGTAGAATTAAAACTTTGAAAAAAGAATGAGGCATTATTCATGATATGGTGCTAGGTAAGAACACTAGTGGGTTCGGTTGGAATGACCAAAAGCACATGGTGTATGCTGAAGATGCAATTTGGGAATCATACTTAATTGTAAGTATTTACCTTTTTTTGTACTTTCATTTATTTTTATTAATGTATACATACAACTAATTTCTTTATGTTTATTATAGAGTCACAAAGAAGCTGCACCTTTTAGAACAAGAAGCTTTAGGTTTTATAATGAGTTATATGCAATATATTCTAAAGATTGTGCAACTGGAAAAGATGCACAGACAGCAAATGATGTAGTTGAAGAAATACAAGCTGAAGAACAGAATGATATAAGAGATGGCACGGAAGATAGTGCATTTGTTGGTTTGGATGATATTGATTTAACGAGTACACAACCTGAGCCACAAAATGATGGTAGAAAAAGAAGTAATTCAAGTAAGAGAAAGAGAAGTCATGATGAAGCTATTGAGATATGTGCTGAGAATATGCTTAATACTGCGAAGCTAATAAGCAATACAATGTCAGAGGTTGGTAAGAATTTATCCGATGGTCTTCAATATGATCGTGATATGGATATGTTTCAGAAGCTTGAACGTGCATTAAAAGAGGTTGATGGTTTGGCAAATGATGAAATGGACCTTGTTTCGTTTAAGCTCACTGATCATCCTAATAAAGTAGCTTTTTTTCTCAGTCTTGATCCTGATCGAAGACTACCGTGGATCAGAAGATTTCTTGCTATCAATTAATCATTCTTCTTCATAGTTATATTTTATGAACATTTTAACTTTCATTGGATTGTTGAGTATTTTGTTTAAAATAACATATGTTATGCTTCTTTTGAATATTGTTAAATGTTATTTAAAAAATTTTGTTATTTACATGACTATTTTGTTTCATAATTTACATATCATTGCTTTTCTGAATATTATTGATGCCTAATAATAATAATAATAATAATAATAATAATAATAATAATATTGTTATTTTTTGTACAAGGGCATTTATGTCTTTTAAACATATATTCTATTCTTATTCCTTAACCAACCAAACATTGGAATACAGTTCCCAATGTCTATTCCTTGAGCGAACCAAACAACAGAATACAATTTCTATTATATTCCTTACCTACCTATTCCATTCCTTATGGAATAGCCTTCCTATTCCCTCTCCAAATTGATTCTGTGAATCAAACGGGTCATTAGTGAAAAAAATGGGGCGTATGAATTTTTTCTACCCAAAATTTATGTTTCACAAAAGAAAAAAAATTGAAGCATTAATATTTTTACATTTTGAAAATTTGTTCTTTAACGAAGACTTTAGTAAAAAAAAAAAAAAAAACACTAAAAATTATGCATATTTAAAGACAAAGTATTTGGCCAGTTATCCCACCCAAAAAGAGTAGGTGCTTACAATTCAATGAGAAGATCAGTCAATGTGTCCGACGGTGAAAATTCTGTGTACACCCAAAAAAGAAGACAGTATTTGTAAATATACACTTTACGTATATGTTTTTTTACGTGTACAATAATCATGTTCTATCTTACACAATTGACCTTTTTGTAACTGTTATATATCATATCTTTTACGGGAGATATATAAGAGACTAAGAGAGTAAAAAAAATAAAACTTAAAGAACACAATATATAACTTTACATATACAAACGTTATTTACTTTGTAAGCTATTGGGTTCACAAGTTGGCATGCATATTCCAAGATTAGCTAGCTGTTGTCTTCATTTTTTTACCAATATAAAAATAGAAAAAGTTGGGTTCGCTCCTTGGAAAAATTTACAAGGAAAACTTGCAAATTGTAGAATTATATATTGTATGTTGGAATATTTAATTGACAAGTGGTTGAGTAGTTATACTAATACCCCTAATTTCTTATATAAGCAAAAGTCATTTTTGTTAACTTTTCAATGCAAGTTTACACTAATACTAAACTTAGTAAATTGATTCCCCCCACCCCCCCCCCCCACAAGGGCCCCCACTGCACACCCCGGCTTGACAGAGCATTTGAGATGATGTAAATCGCGGTGACTCAATAACAATCAACAGACATGGTAAAATGCTAGTGCACACAAGAGATCTGTCAACTTTAGGTATAATCCCCACACTGCTGCTGCCAAGGTTCAAACCTTAGTCTCTTTTCACAAATATTGTTGACAGGATAATTGGACAAAGTACTAGTTTCGACCCGAAGCACATTTGGATTGACCACAGTAGTCAAAGCAATCAACAAGGTTAGTTAGTAACGGTCAAGAGTGAAGTAGAAAGAAGTGGAATGGTTCTTAGAATTCAATACCTCCCCATCAAAGAGCAGAGCACACAACAATTACTAAGGAGCCGGCCTACACTTATAGAAGGGGGCGGTTGCACTTATTAGAAGGTCGTTAGTGCCCATTATTGTTTTCTGTTACATTGTAGAGTATAAAATTTAAGCCCATTGAAAAATGTGAGGACACTCTTGATTCTTGTACTCGATCAGAACTTACTCTTAGCAATACAACTTGTCTCAATTCACATATATACAAATATACTCCAATAACATATTTACCGTCAACTGTCTATTGAACCAGTGAGTTAAGCCCGTACAGACTTCCTTTGATACTCAATTAACCGTGAACTCAACATCTGTAAAAGTTTATTTGGATCGGTTGCAATCTTAACATATTAACAAATGCACTTTCAAAATGAAATTATTTTCCATTTTTTATAAGAAACATTTTTATCAAATACAAGTTGGTGTTCGAGTGTGAATTGAACAAGCAAATAATTCATCATATTTATTTTAATTGATTCAAAGGTTGTGAACTCAAAGCGAGAAGAGATCATAAATTTATTTTCATGTGACAAATCTGAAAAGCTCAATAATAGATGAGGAAGAAAATGAATGTTCACATATTGAATTAATTTTCTTCGCCTTTTCTTTTACGTACGCTTTGTTAGAAGAAAGGAATTAGAGGGGAAAAAAATTGTAATTCAGTAAGAAGAAAATAAGGTTGATATAAAGTATGAATTCAAATTACGTTGTTTGGTAGGAAAAAAAATAACTATTGAGAATGAGAAGGAAATAAGTGGTATAAAGACTAAAATATCTTTGTATAATAATAATAATAATAATAATAATAATAATAATAATAATAACAACTAAGGGCATATTTGTCATTTCATCTCTTTCTCCCTTTCCTAAAAGCAACGAATTGCAATTCATGTGGATATACCCCTGAATTGCAATTCAACCAATGGAGGGAATTGCAATTGCTTCCAACCAAACAACGTAATTGATGCCTCAATTGAATTTCAATTTAACTACAACTTAATTACAGTGAACCAACCAAACGGCCAGGTTCGAAGAAGAGAGTTGAGCTTTGAGAATTTCTAGGCAGAATCATCAATAGCTAAAATTCAATTGAAACATAGATGGTTGAAATTGAAGACTGATTGGGCAACTCATAATTTATCTTCTCCAGCGCTTTTTGACAGAGGTTCTAGGGATTTAAAATTAGTCTAAAAACATAGCTATATATATATATATATATATATATATATATATATATATATATATATATATATATATATATATGTTTCAATAAAATTCTAACCTAGTTTGTCTTAACTCTCTAAAGAATATCTTTCTAGTCTCTTATATTGGCAAGACAAAATTCAGAGGGTGATGAACATACAAATAGGGCATGTTTTTATAGCATAGTGGTCCAAAGATGACAATGAAGATTGGGGCAAAAACTGAAATTTTCTTTGTTAGCTATTAAAACTGACCGTACCCCTATTGTCTTATTTTCTTTAGAGTTAATTCCACCGGAGGTCCTTTGTCTTTAGTGGCAATTTTAAATTTAATCTCAGAGTATCGTTTTTGTCATTTTACATCCCAGACTATTATTTTTTGGACACTTTTAGTCATTCTCATGATTTTTTCTATTTTAGTAGGGGCATTTTTGTCTCTTCATATTTTTCTTTTGTTATTTTTTTGGTTTCAACCAGTTTAATTGGTTTAAATCT